CAATGAGATGATCACGCATCTTGTCCAGCACAGATTCCATGTCTTCACGACTTAAGCTCTTGGAACCCACGAGGCCCTTCAGCATTCCAAACATGCCACCCAGGGTACCTTTTGTAGCACTGCAGGCATAGCAAATCATGGATGCACACAAAACCAGCAGGCAGGAGTCACATATTATTTCTGGTGCCACGCATACCATACCTCTACCTGAAATGCCCCTACCTAGGCTTGGTGGTGTTTTGAGAGGCTCCTTCCTCATCTGAGCTGCTGCAGTCCAGATCCTGAAGCTGCCCCCCAGGCCCTGTCCCTCGAATCTGGAAAATGTAGAGAAGGGAGACAGATAGGATCAGGGACACTAAAAGCTCCAAAGGCGATAAGGCCAGGGTTGAACCTACACCACATTGCTCTGGCTCTTTGATTTGGGGATGGTTGGAACTCTCCCCTGCACTCAAATCCAGGTACTGCTGTTGTGGGGTACTGTCAAGTCAATTCTGACTTATAAGGACCCATGTAAAAAAGTATTGCCCCACAGGGTTTTCTTGGCTGTACTTTCTCCATCATAAAGTCTTTCTTCCACAGAGCCACTGGGTAGATTCAAACCACCAACCTTTCAGTGAACAGCCCAGCTCGTAACCATTGCATCCCCAGGTCTCCTTAAGTACTGCCCCACTATCTCCAGTTCTTCTTCAATTTCTGATTCATGGTAACCGGCACTCTGTCCCCTGTTGCTGCTTACCAATTTGATGTCCTCTGGCAGAGCAACCTCAGGAGTTCCATTGGTGGTGGGAGCACTATAATCCAAGACTTCTTGGTTAGCACAGCCACCCAGTGCCCACACCCGGGGTGCCTTTTTGCCCTTCTCCTTTGGAGCATCTGACTTCAGGGACTTGCTGCAATGAGTTAGAGTGCAAAGGGTTAGAAGGAGCTCATCTGCCCCTGAGTCAGAGACAAGAACTCGGCTGCTCCCAAACACAATGCTCACCTGGACTTCTCCATACCCCTCCCATGCTTCTGCATGAACTCCTCTCGCTTCCTGCGGACCAGCTCCTCTTTGGAAAGTTCTACCCCATTCTCAGGTCCTGCTGGGAGACCTGATTTTTCTGCAAGGACTGCTTTGCTGGTAGCCAAAGGACTACTATCAGAACCTGTTAGAAAAAGGCTCACTGGAGGAAAAAGACCAAATTCTAACACAATCGATAAAAACAATTCTTCCAAATCCCTAAAAGAAAACCTGCAGCACACATCTTGAAGACCACAAGGACTTAGGATGGTAGTGAGGGTGGTGGACATTTGGGTGAGAGTGGGAGGCAAGCAATGATAGAGAGAAACGTAGGGAACCATCTCAGTCCTTAGCACTGCAGGAGTACCTTTCCAATCCCATTATATCCAAGGACCCCAAACTCACCTTCCTTCTTACCCCCCTTTTTTTTGCTGTTCTTCGCTTTTTCCTTGGGCTTTTCCCCACGTGTCTCAATCATGGACCTCACAGGTTTCTTGGCTTTTTCAGAATCTTCATACTTCTTCATAGTAGTGGGAGCACGGATCTTATTACTCTCCTCTGCTTCACTACACAGAACAAAGAATGACAGAAATCTGAGTCCAGAGAAGGAACCCTCACACCAAAATGTCAATGAACTGGGCAGCACATTTAGTAGTGTTTCATTCACAGTTTACAACTCTTTGTAGAGGGATCCCTCACCGAAGAAGTCGCAGGAAGTCATTTTGGAAATCAAAAGTGCCATTCAATAGACTTAAGGCACTTTGCTGTTGTATCTCAGTGCGGTACTTATCCCGAAATAGCCGGTGCACATCATCTATCAATTTGTCTACATAGGTCAGTGTTAGGATCTTCTGAAAACCAACCTGTTCAGGGGAAAAAAACAGAGCCAGATCTGCTTACATGCCAGTCCAGAAAGGAGGGAAGCCAACTCTACCCAGGACTGCAGAGAACACTCAGCCACCTGGCAGGGTTCCATGACTTGAGGGGCAGCCAAGCTCTGTGAATAGACCTAGGAACTTCTGCCCCACTCTCACCTTATAAGTGTTCTCATTACTTCACCAAACATCACTAGGAACAATTAATCAACACTCTTTATAATTAGAAATACGTTAAGAATCACTCAACATAACCACTGACCCTCTAAAATATTTACCACAAGCACCACACTTACCACAAACACCAGCTCAAACTGGTTGTCCAGTTTATACTTGAGTGTGAGTGCCTCATGGGTGAAGGAGTTGTTACCTCCCCGTTCCTGGCAAAAAAACAAACCAGATTATCCTGAGAAAACCTAAATTTAGGCCCCTCCAGGATTACCTAGAGAAAGAACCAGACATACTGTCCAAGTCGAACCTGTCCCCAAGACAAGGAGATACTGGGGCACTTCTCCATAGCATTCACCCAGAGAGAAAATGCGAGTTAGGGGAAATATCAAGTTAGGGGCAAGAGGGGAAGAGGTGAGAGAGAAGTCTAGACACGTGGGATCTGAAGTCCTTATATAAACAACCTAATGTACTACCAGCTGTACACCACTTACACTTCTGTAAAGCCGTTTCCCTATCCTTCATCTCACCCACCCTTCAAAACAACAGAAAAAATCAAGCTGCTGGGGGTGTGGGGAGGGTGGGTGGCAAATGCTGGGGTGCTAAGACGAGCGGGAATACGGCTAGAGTCCCAGAAACCGGAGAGGGTGGGCGTCCGGATGTTGGGTGGAGGTCTGAAGTGGGTGAAGTGCCGGTGAGTGGCTAGTGTAAAAAGGGTGGAGAGGGTGGGAGTGAGGGGCAGGTTTAGCCGAAGGGGACGTGGAGAGGGGGTCCAAAAGGGAGAGCCCGGAGTTCCGATCCCGCGGGGGCGGTACCTGCAGTAGCACGGAACGAATCAGCGCATTAACAGGCCCGGTGCATGAATCGCTGACGCCCTGGAAGCACCACAGCACAAGCCCGCCCTTGGAAAAAATAGTGAAGAAGTCGAGCATGGCGGCAGCAGGAGAGGATCTGGGGCCGGCGCCGGGAACTAAGGCCACGATCGCCGCCGCTTCCTGCTGCGCCAAGCGCGGGACACGTCACACGAGTGGCCCCGGAAACCAGCTCAGCCGCACTTCCGCTCTTCCCCCTCCCCTTCCCCGGCCCAAAGAAGCCCTAAAGTCGCGCAAGACAGACGTAACCGGAGGCTAGCCAATGGTAGTTGGGGGCCGGGCCAGGGCCGAAGTCCGCTGGAAAGTCCCGAGAATACAGGAACCTGTCCATGGAGTCTGTAGGATAAGTGCTTGGACTGCTAGCCACAAGGTTGGCGGTTCAAACCCACCATCTGCTTCTCAGGGTCGCTTTGTGTTAGAATCAACTCAAAGGCACTTAACAACAACAATATAGCGTGGAGGGGCGGGGCCGGAAAGAACAAACAAGAAAAGGCGAGGCCGCTGGCCAATGAGAGCGCTTCCCTGGAGGGCCTGTGGCGCGGGGCTATGACCTTGGCGTGGTGACGGTCTCGGGAGTCTGGTGTGGCGCGCAAGGGTAGCATTCGCAGGTGCTATGCTTCGGCGGGCCCTGCAGCTCCGCTTGTGCCGGTGCCTCTTGGCCAGGAGGCTCGGCTCACGCAGAGGAGCCTCCACTCTGGGTAAGTGATCAGTGTGGCTCTGGGTGGCCCTCCCGCTATGTGACCCGTGGGTTCCCGGCCCACTATGGGGAAATAAAGGGTCGGCTAGAGGAGGTGGATGAGACTCGGACTACCGGAGCGTTTAGGGCCCGGACAGGCACCTTCTGAGGTGACAAATCCTAGATCTTTTTATGTCTCCGTTTACCGCAGAATAACAGGGGGCCAGGCCGATGCATTAGTCCTATGCATGTACAGAATGCAGTGCTTAGTGCTATGGCCGTAAAGGAAGCAAGACAAGGAGAATCCAATATGTCCCTGACCAATTGAAAGACTAGATTGCACAATTCAAGAATGCACTGGACTACTAAGCTATGAAGCTAGAACAGTTGTAGAAGTACGTGTACATGCGACCAGTCCAAAAGATAAAGTATGGAGAACTAAGCAAAGTTTAGGAGGAAAATGTTACATTCTTTTGCAAGGAAGTAGCAAAAAACAATGAGGTAACAGAGTTTGAGCGGTAATATGAAAAGTATTGTGAACATGTAAGGTAAGGCCAGGTGATGAAAGAGTCCAATGCTGAGAAGAGTGAATGTTATATTGGAGAGAGAAGTCTTGGAGATTCTTGAGTTAGGTTTGACATGCAAAAGGGTTAATTTATCCCAAACCCTTGAACCCTGGTGGCACTATAAGATAAGCACCGGACTACTAACCAGGGTTATCGGTTCAAACCCACCAGCCACTCCAGGGAGAAAGAGGCAATTTTACACTCCCTTAAAGATTTACAGCCTTGAAAATGATATACAGCATCGCTTTGAGTCCAGATTTGATGGAAATGGCTTTGGTTTGGGTATCCAGAGACACTTCCAAAAGAACGGTGTAAAAATGGGATGATGGGCATGTGACCTCTGACTTCACAAGGGGTAAACGAGAAGCATCAACACCAACTGCCTAAGGCTGATTTCTGAGGCAGAAGGCCGACTTTACCAATTCTGACACCAACTGCCTAAGGCTGATTTCTGAGGCAGAAGGCCGACTTTACCAATTCTGACACCAACTGCCTAAGGCTGATTTCTGAGGCAGAAGGCCGACTTTACCAATTCTGACACCAACTGCCTAAGGCTGATTTCTGAGGCAGAAGGCCGACTTTACCAATTCTGACACCAACTGCCTAAGGCTGATTTCTGAGGCAGAAGGCCAACTTTACCAATTCTGACACCAACTGCCCAAGGCTTACTACTGAGGCTGGATGCTATAATTTGGTGGCGTAGTGGTTATGAATCGGGCTGCTATCTCACGGTCAGTAGTTCGAAACTACCAGCTGTTCCACGAGAGAATGATGAGGCTTTCTGCTCCCATAAAGATTTACAGCCTCGGAATCCCTGTATAGGGTCACTATGAGTCGGAACCAACTCCACGGCACATAACAACAACAAATAATTTGTTGCAGTGTTGATAAGTGCCATCGAGTCAGTTCCAACTCGCAGCAATCCTATCTAGGGTTTCCAAGGAGCCACTAGTGGGTTTGAACAGCTGATCTTGCAGTTCAAGCCAATCTTGTGTCTAATGCATTATCTTGCAACACCACAATGATCACATAGAACTTGCAAACTGTACTCGTGGTTATGGGCCCTATTAGGAAAGTTACTGTTCAGTACCATCGAGTTGTTTCTGACTCATAGCATCCCTGTATAGGGTTTCTGAGGAATGGCTGGTGGGTTTGAACCACCAACCTTGCAGTTAGAATGTGGTTAGCAATTCAGTGCTTATCTTGCAGCACCACACCAGGATGCCTATAGGAAAGTAGCAGGTTACAATTCGTAACCAGAACTGTCTCAGGATTCTTTTCTTCGGTCAGGACAGCTTCTCAGTTATGGCCACCTGCATGCCTCTCTCTGGGCCTTGGCCTCTCAGCTCCGCAGTCCCTCGGCTTCTGCCTGCTCAGGCAAGTGTTATAAAGCTCATTATCTCCACCAGTAAGTGCCTGGAAACCCCTGCAGTGTCAGCAGGCCTCCTGCCTGAAAGCACTCCCTGGGCATCTCCCGTCAGTCTCCTAGCTCTGCTACCTCTGCGGCAGCCATTTCTCTGCCACTGCTTCTCCCCATCTCTGGTGTTGGACTGCTCTGTTTGTGTCTCAGCCTAGGAGGTTCTCAGTACAGGAACTCTGGGTCTAAAGGACACATTTCACTCCTGGGTATTCTTCCCTGGTGGCCGTGAGGTCCCCCTTGCCACCTCTGGGATGGCTCCTTTTAAGCCCAGCAGGATAGCATAATTGACCAATCCCCTTGTTAGGGATCTATACACCTTATCTAGTCCTAGCCATCTTTTGGTTGAAGCTGTAAGACCATCAATAGAAAGGCCGTATAAATGTGATTCATCACACTGCAAAAGCTTGGCAGTCTTTCCCAACAACAGGAAACCCTGTGTAGCACTCGGACACACACAAGGTCGGCATGACTTGAAGCCAATTCCACAGCAACTGGCTTGGTTTGGGTTTGGCTAGAGCACATGAGCACATAGTATGTGTCAGGGATTGTGCTAGGGTGGAGATTCGGTAGTGACAAAGGTAGACACAGTTCCTGCCTTCGTGGATCTTATTCGGTATAAAGCAATCAAAAACTCAAAAGTTATAAATGTGTCACGTGGTATACATTTCCCAGAATAATGAGACTGCGTGATAGGAGAATTGGACATAGTCCTGGTGTGACGCTGTGGATTAATGCATCAGACTGCAAAGCCATTTGAACTGCAAGTCAGTGGTTCAAGCTCACCAGCTGCTCCTTGGAAACCCTATACAGGGTCGCTATGGGTCAGAACCGACTCGATGGCACTTCACAACAACAAGGGATCAGGAGGAGTCCTGGTGTGGCACTCTACCACAAGGTTAGTTTGAATTGTAAGGTTGGCAGTGCAAGCTCGCCAGCCACTCCTCGGAAACACTATATGGGTTGCTGTGAGTCAGAACTGACTTGATGGCACTCAACAACATCAAGAATCAGGAAGGAGTCTGGTGTGGTGCTGTAGGATCAGCACTGGACTGCTAACCATAGGTCGGTGGCTGAAGCCCACCAGGCACTCCTTGGAAACCCTATATAGGATCGCTGCCATGATTTGAAACCAATTCGATGGCACTTAACAAAATCAGGAAAGGCTGCTCTGAGGAAGTGATAATATGAGCTGAAATCTAAAGAAAGCAAGCAGGTGGGCAAACAAGTGGACAGTTTGTCAGCAAAGAAAATACATGCATAGATTCTGTTATAAAAATAAGGTGTTATCAAGGACTGGAATGGAAAAGCCCAATGTAAGGTTGACAGAAGCCCAGGTTGTGCAGTGTTAAAACTTTGGAAAGTTTTAAACAAGGAGTATGTGATCAAATCGGTGTTTAGAAAAGTTCATTTTAGTTGGGAGGTTAGGAGAAAGATCAGGAGCAGAGGTGGGGTAGGAATGAGTGGAATCAATAGGAACTCTTTGGAGGCTTTTGTATATGAGACCAGGTGAGAGATTATGGTGACTTGGTATAGGCTGGTCATGGCAAAACCAGAAAAGGGGAAATCCTAGCAGGCAATCAAAACAGAAGGCAGAGTTATCAGGACTTGATAATAGATAGGACATACATGGATCTGTTGGTGGCAGTGGATATCCAGGTTAAGGTGCCACTCTCAGAGTGGCCGTACTACAGCTTGCGGCAGGCCAGAGCTTCTTGGCCCTGGGCCTGGTTTATGCAAGTGGAGATGACAAAGCAGTTGAGTCTATGCATCTGTAACTCAGGAGAGAAATGACTAACAAGAAAGAGACAAGCATGTCTGAGTCCCCTAGCCCAGGGAGAGCGTAGAGTGTTAATTTTAGGAAGTCAAGTCTTGCATTGCTGAGCAGAGTGCATGCAAAGCAAAGCTGTGAGAGAAGGGGAACAGTAAGGACTGCCCGCTCAGTCTCGTTAGCCTGTGCCCAGTGTCCATCCAGCTCCCCACCACAAGGGAAGGATATGTATGGCCTTTGACTATGACTCTTCCCACAGCTTGGGATGGGAAGTTGTCTGAGATTAAGAAGAAGATCCAGTCAGTCCTGCCTGGGACCTGGGAGCCACTGTATGAAACCAGCCACCTGCCCCCTGAACAAGTGGACGTGGTGATCGTGGGAGGTGGGGTGCTTGGCCTGTCTGTGGCCTATTGGCTGAAGAAGTTGGAGAAGCAACGAGGTGCCATTCGGGTGCTAGTGGTGGAGCGGGACCACACGGTAAGGTCATGGGTAAGGTAGAGAGACATTGAGTGGATAAGAAAGAGGACTTGTCTTATTAAGGACTATAGGAACAAGAAGGAGCCCTGGTGGCACAGTGGGTTAAGCACAACATCATTGGTTTAAACGCAGCTGCTATCTGGAAGATGTAAAGTCTCAGAAAACCCTATGGAGCAGTTCTACTCCGTCCTATAGGGACACTAGGAGTTAAAATCGACTAGGTAGCAGTGGGTTTGGTTTTTCAGTTGGTAGGGACAAAGGAGGGAGCAACGGGAAAACCCTTGATTAAGTTGGGGAACCCAAAGTGTAGGGACTGTGTTTTTGACCTTGTTAATAAACAGTCCCATAAGGCTTGGCAATAAACTGGTGTTTTGTAAAAGCAAATTTCTCAATGTTGCACTTTGGCGATCTCAGAGGCCTAGCTGAGAAAGCCTTTATTCAAGCTGTGCTAACAACTCTCCCAATTTTCTTGTGGTTTCCTCTACTTCTGAGGTTTTTTTCACTTACATCGTTCTTATTTGTTACTGCCAAATTGCCACCAGTTTTAGGTCACATTCTTCTGTTTTTCAGTTACATGTTAAGCTGCTGCCCTTGGAATTCCAGGTCCTCACCATTTTGTACTGCTTTGCCCCCACCCTGTTGACCCTCTGTTCTGCAAGACTGCTGATGAGGGTTTTGGTGCTCTCTTCAGGCTTCTGACTGACTTGCATATGGGTTTATTCTTTTCAACTCCTCTTAGATTGTAAATTATGAGTTGATGTTAAGTGCCCTCAAGTTGGTTCCAGCTCATAGGGACCCTGTGTAGGGTTTTCCTAGGAGTGGGTGGTGGGTTTGAACTGCCAACCTAGTGATTAGCAGGCCAGTGCTTATCCTACAGCATCACATCAAAGTTTCCTTTTATAATTTAAGTTATATAAATTAAAACTGCCGTTCGTGTAAAACAAGGTACTGCTCTACCGTGACTTTTCTTGTCTTTCCACAGTATTCACAGGCCTCCACGGGGCTTTCTGTGGGAGGGATCCGTCAACAGTTCTCATTGCCTGAGAACATCCAGCTCTCCCTCTTCTCAGCCAACTTTCTACGGAACATCAATGTATGGGAAGTGACATTTGGGGGGTAGAGGGTGGTGACTCCTAGCCCAGAGAGAGGAGCAGCCCAGCTGGCTAGGGGATCCAGGAACAGGAGTGGTTCAGACAGCTAGGAATGGGGCCCCTGGGTTTTCTTCCCAGTGCTGGCTCGTAAAGAAGAGCTTCTGTCTGGTTTTCAGGAACAGTTGTTGAGGAAGCCAGGAATTAAGAATGTCCCATCTTTAAAACAACTTCTTTGATCAACTTTTCTTCAAACACAGGAGTACCTGGCTGTGGTCGATGACCCTCCCCTGGACCTCCAGTTCAACCCCTCAGGCTATCTCTTGCTGGCTTCAGAAAAGGGCGCTGCAATCATGGAGAGCAACGTGAAGGTGCAGAGGTGAGCGCCAGGCCAGCCTCCTGCACTCATCGGGCTCCTGCACCAAGTCAGGCAGCTGGGACAGTCGAGTTGGCCCTAAGGAGCTCATTGATTCTCAACCATTTTGCACTGACATATACAGAGCCTCAGTACTCTGGAGTAGGTGCTGTGCTACAGATATGAACACAGAACTGCTGCAGGAATTCTAGAATGTGCCAGATCATAAGGGTCATCTCTGGCAGATCCCAGGCCTAGGAAATTAGAATTTCTAGGGAGGGAAAGTATAGCCAGAATGTTCCTTAGAAGTGAAGATCGTGCAACTTCATGTCACTTGCTGTGGTAGACATGTTATCAGGAGGGGAGGGACCAGTCTCTGGAGAAGGGCATTATTCTTGGTAAAGTGGAGGGTCAGAGAAGAAACAAGACCCTCAACAAGATTAATTGACACAATGGCTGTAACAATGGGCCCAAACAGGAATAATCATGAGGAAGGCACAGAACCAGGCAGTGTTTAATATGTAGGGTCATTATGACTTGGAACAGACTCAATGACACCAAACAATAAAGAAGAAGAATTTTCTAGGAATCTGGTTTTTTAACAGGGACCCTAATTCAGGGGTCATACTCTGGTAGCGTAGTGGTTACTAATCGGGCTGCGAACCATAAGGTCAGCGGTTCGAAACTACCAGTCACTCCGCGGGAGAAAGATGAGGCTATCTACTCTAGTAAGGATTTACACCCTCGGAAACCCTGTACAGGGTCGCTATGGGTCGGAACCGACTCAAAGGCACTTAACAACAATAACAACAACAACTTTTTCTGTAAAGCAAATATTTTAGATTTGATAGGTCTTACAGTCCCTTTCGGGTCCTGGTGTGGCGCCATGGGTTAATGCTCTGGACTGCAAAGTCGGTTTGAACCACAAAGTCAGCAGTTCAAAGTTACCAGTCGCTCCTTAGAAACCCTTTGCAGAGTTACTATGGCTCAGCACTGACTAGACGGCACTTAGCAACAATAACAACAACCCAGTCCCCGTCACAACCATTTCATTCTTTCACATCAGCAGCCATAAACCAGTGAATGTGACTGTGTTTCGGTTCAGCTTTATTGCATTGGATAAAGTGAGCTGGGTTCAGCTCACAGGCAGTAGCTTACCATCCCTGCTCTTACTGATTCTCATGCTCACTCAAGAGGAGGCATCTTTGTGACATGGTTTTATATGTTTTTATATGAACACTTATATAAGCCCTACTAGTGACATCAGGAGAGCCCTGGTGTGGTGTGGTAGGACTTCTGACCACACAGTCAGTGGTTCAGACCCACCAGCCACTCCTCAGATACTCTATATAGAGTTACTGTGAGCTGGAATCGACTCGACAGCACTTAACAACAAGATGACCTCAGGGAAGTCCCTGGGTTGCACAAATGGTTTTCACTTGACTACTGAAAGGTGGGACTCTTGGTATGGCGCTGTAGGATAGACACTACACTTCAAACCACAAGATCAGCAGTTCAAACCCCCAGTAGCTCCTTGGAAACTTATACAGGGTCCCTATGTGTCAGGACCAACTGGACAGCACTCGACAGCAAAAGCAGTAAAAGGCAAATGTTTGAAACCCACCCGGCAACACAGTGGGAAACAGGCTTGGCAATCCACTTCCATAAGGATTGGTTGCTATTGTTAAGTGTCATCGAACTAGTTTGGAATCATAGCAATACTGAGTGGAGTTTCCGAGGAGCAGCTGGTGGGTTTGCACCACCAACCTATGGTTCAAACTGACCTTTTGGTCCAGCGCATTATCCTACAGCACCACAGCCAAGAAAACTTAATGAAGTAGCTGTCCTCTGTAACACATGGGGTAGCTGTGAGTAGGAATCAGCCTAAAGGTAGTTGGTATTGGGTAGTGACATAACGTGTTCTAAATGCTTTATAGATACTGACTCATTTAATCATCACACTCCCATTTACCTGTGATAAGAGAAGTACAAGGAGCTAGTAGGTCATGAAATAGGCAGTCTGGCTTGAGGGAGATGGCTTTGAGGGCAGCATCACAGAGGAGATAATTGTTCCACTAACAAGGGCTGCCCTCCATGAAAGAGAGGAAGGCCGTACTAGGCAGGAGGAGTGGCGGCAGAGTTACCATGCTGTGAAAGACATGGATCTTTGGAGGGTAGTGGGGAGTTCAGGGCTACTAGAGGGAGATTGGATCCAGGCAGGACAGAGGGGCTTTATGCTGAAGAGCCTTGACTAGGGTGCCTGGTCTTCCCCCACTCAGGAGTAAGGAATTTCTAGGTTGGTGTGGCGGGGATAAGCTGGAATCACCACTCATGGACGAGTACGTGATGCTCCCCTGTGTAAACTCACCCTCAGTGACACTCATTTCTCTCAGACAGGAGGGAGCTAAAGTGTGTCTGATGTCCCCTGAGCAGCTCAGGAACAAATTTCCCTGGATAAACACTGAGGGAGTAGCACTGGCTTCTTATGGTAAGATTTGCCTGGAAAGGGCACAGTGCTTTTCTTCAGGCTCAGGGCTTAAAGGGATTCCTCAGGTTGGAAGTCTCAACATCCCACAGCCAACCTCAGTGTGGGGACACTTCCATTCTGAGCATCAGGGTCTTTCCCAGGTCACACTGGTTCTCCATCCTTCAGCAGATTGGACTAGGGTCCAGTTGATCTTCCCCAGTTTCTGAGCCCTAAAAAGTAGTTGGTGGTTGGGGTGAGAGGCAGGAAATAGAAGAAAATAGCTCCTAGCTCCCCTTCATCAGCTCTCTTTCTCACCACAGGGATGGAGAATGAAGGTTGGTTTGACCCCTGGTGTCTCCTGCAGGGGCTTCGCCGAAAGGTCCAGTCCATGGGAGTCCTTCTATGCCAGGGAGAGGTCACACGTGAGTCCACTACCATTTCCTCTACCAACCAGGCATAGCCCTCACCAGCTCTGAATTTCTCACTCACAGGCTCAGCTAGGGCTGTGAGTGGTGGGGGAGTCTCCTTTGAAGGGTGGTCCTAAGGTATCTTGACTTCTTTGTGAACTAAGAATTCCAGTATTCTCCTGTCTTGAGTATGTCCATGTTCATCAGCAACACAGTCTGTTTGCTTCAGTGTCTGTAGGGAGCTCCCATCCTCCCACTTTCTTTCCCTGTAAAACCAATGAGATCATCATCTCCTTGCTCTTCTAGAGCACAAGTGCTTATTCGTTGTTTTCTCTTTGCTACTACAGGTTTCATCGCTTCATCTAGCTGCATGGAAAACACAGACGGGGAAAAGGTCACTTTGAAAAGGATTCATGAAACCCATGTAAGTTCCTCACCTGATTATCTTCTTTACCAAAGTAGAGGAACCAGTAAAGGTGATGGTCTCCTTGTTTGGATCTTCTTTTACCCACTTCCAGTATGGGCATATTTAGGAAGAAATATGCCTCTTATGGTATCTGTGTCTGGCCAAGAGCCTCCCTCTACTCACTGTCTGGTACCTGCAGGTAAAGATGGCACACAGCCTGGAGTACCAGCCTGTGGAGTGTGCCATAGTGATCAACGCAGCAGGAGCCTGGTCTGGGCAGATCGCAGAGCTAGCTGGCATTGGGAAGGGCCCCCCTGGCACCCTGCAGGGCACCAAGCTCCCTGTGGAGCCGAGGAAAAGGTGAGTTCCCTCAGGGCAGCAAAGGAGGTTGGTGAGAGAAGAAAAGAAATGTGTGTCTGCTACAGGGGTGGTGGGGAGCTGTTGGCTGAGCTGTCCTCTCGGTTTCCTGACCTCGCTGGTTGTGGCAGGTATGTGTACTTATGGCACTGCCCCCAGGGACCAGGCCTGGAGACGCCACTCGTTGCAGACACTAATGGAACCTATTTCCGCCGTGAAGGACTAGGCAACAACTATGTCGGTGGCCGTAGCCCCTCGGAGGTAACCTCAGTGGATGCGGGGTACTGGGAAAGAGACAGACCTTTTGTCATTAAAGACTCAGGCTCTTTGACAGGTCCCATGCAATATTATTGAGGTAGAATTGAGATCTTGTCTCCCATCCTCCTCCTACTAGTCTACAAGTCTGTGAGATCTGGGTCCCAGGCAAAACAAACCTTTCCCCACCTCTCACCCCAGGAGGAGGAACCAGACCCAGGGAACCTGGAAGTGGACTATGATTTCTTCCAAGAAAAGGTGTGGCCCCATTTGGCCCAGAGGGTACCAGCTTTTGAGACTCTGAAGGTAACTCTGACATTGGAGACAACAGATAGCACTGGGGAGCCTTGCTCCCCTTGGAATTCCTGTCCATTGGTACAGTGGGCTAATGCTCTGGACTGCAAAGTTGGTTTGAACCACAAAGTCAGTGGTTCAAGATCACTAGCCACTCCTTGGAAACCCTACACAGGGTCGATAGGGTTGGAATTGACTCACCCACCACCCACAACTGCTGACCTCACATCTGTCAGACCCATCCCATTGGACCCCATCAGTAGAATAGCTTGTGTACTGTTTTCTGACTCATAGTGAGTCTGTAGTGTTTCCTAAGAACAACTAGCAGGTTTGAACCACTGACATTATGGTTAGCAGTCCAGTGCTTATCCTACAGTGCCACGTCAGGACCCTCAGCAAATTGTTGGTATTCTCACCCCTGACCATGAGTGAGGGCTGAGCATGTCTGCCTCCTTCCTAAGAACGTCACTTGTGTATCTACAGGTTCGGAGCGCTTGGGCTGGCTATTACGACTACAACACCTTTGACCAGAATGGTGTGGTGGGCCCCCACCCACTCGTAGCCAATATGTACTTTGCTACAGGCTTCAGTGGTCATGGCCTGCAGCAAGCCCCTGCTGTGGGGCGGGCTGTGGCAGAGATGGTGCTGAAGGGCAATTTCCAGACCATCAACCTGACCCCCTTCCTCTTCAGCCGCTTTTATTTGGGAGCAAAGGTCCAGGAGTCTAATATCATCTGAGCTGGTAAGCTCTGTCCTAGGCCCCAGCCCCCATCTGTAACCACTGTGTTCAGTCCCATCCACTGCCCAGATCCTCATCAACAGCACACCAGGGTCTCTTTTCCCCCTCATGGCACCTGGTACCTCAATCCCCTTCCTCATCTTCCTCTCCCTATTAACCAAGTCATTCTACCCCTTTGTGATTGGGTAGGTAGGTCGATTCTAGGTTCTGAAATTTTGTTCCTGAAGCCCAGGATGACAGTGATAGGTGGGACCCTGGGACTCATCTCTGACCCAAACTGATGCTGCCCTCCAAGGAAATCCAGCTGTATAGAATACTCAGGAATCTTTTTTTTTTTTAATTTCTAGGGGTGGGTAGGAGTAAGGAGTTAGGGTTAGGACTATGGCTAGACCTAGGACTTCTATCTCTGATAGGGTTATGATTAGCACCAGGATTAATGTTAGGGGTTGTGCTAGGAGTAATGCTTGGTCTAGTTTTAGGGTTAGGGTTAAGTTTTTTGTTTTTCTTGGTACCTACTGGAGTTCTTCTTCATTTGGAAGCTCTATAGCTACATCATTCCCTCTTTTTAATCTTTAGGGTTTTGTTGTTGCAAACTTGTGTCTCTGCTTCCCTAATTTTCAACCTTCTTGTTGTTAGGTGCCATTGAGTTGATTCTGACTCAGAGTTTCCCCATGCATAACAGAATGAAACACTGCCTAGTCCTGTGCCATCCTCACAGTTGTTACATATTTCAGCCCACTGTTGCTGCCACTGCCCCAATCCATCTTGTTAGGGGCCGTCCTCTTTTTCACTGACCCCCTATTTTACCAACCATGATGTCTTCCTCCTGATAACATGTCCAAAGTATGAGAGCAGCCTGGCCATCCTGGCTTCTAAGGAGCATTGGCTGTATTTCTTCTAACACAGATTTGTTTCTTCTGGTAATCCATGGTACATTTAATATTCGTCTCCAACATGATAACTGAAATACATCAATTCTTCTATGGTCTTCCTTATTCATTATCCAACCTTCACATGCATAAAATGCTATTGAAAATACCTTGGCTTGGGTCAGGTGCACCTTAGCCCTCAAACTAATATCTTTGTTCTTGAACATTTAAAGAGGTCTTACACAGCGCATTTGCCAATGCAGTATGTTGTTTGATTTCATGACTTCTGCTTCA